TATTTTAATCTATCGTATTCCCCAAACGATCTATTTCTCTGGGAAATACGACTTAAAAATAGAAATGTTTGAGAGTATTAAGTATATATATGTATAAGCTTATTTATCTATATATATAGAGAGACAGAAATATATAGGAACACTAAAATCTTATAAGTTTCTGTGGTTATCCATTGTCGCCTTGATGAAAATTTTAAAATTTTCCTTTGATGATTTCATCGTTTAGCGTAGACTGTAAACAAGCAAAAAATCTATGCAGTTGCTATAAAGAATTATTCTATGTTCCATCCATTTTTCTATGTTCATAACCATCTTAAACCCGACTTTGAATTTGTTTCATAAATCTAGTTTTCAAATAGAATTATTATTCAACTTTATTACTCAAATTTATGTTAATATAAATTTTAAAAATTTATTTAAGCTAAAATACTTCCCATTCGTCCACATTATGTGTATTATTTTTTGAATATTTTTAACAATATATTTTTTCATTAAATGGAAATGAGGCTCTCTCAAAAAATGTTGCAACTGAAATTGAAAAATTATTTATAGTCTTTGTATTACTTGGTAAAGCGATTTGACGCTTGGACTGTGTGAAATGTTGTGAAATATTCAAAAGGTACGCAAACGCCTCTGGATTATACAATTTATTTTTGTTAATTAACCGCAAATTTAGCCACCAACTGTCAGCGGCCAAATTAGAAGCTTTCGACATACATATGTACATGTACCGAGAGTGCGGCTATATTTATACGATATATTTCAACACAAAAATATTCAAAAACAATCGAGCAAAGTATCTGCCAGGTACACACAGACTGTATGTGTGTGTGTGTGTGAGTGTGAGTGTGAGTGTGTGTATAAGTGCAACTCATTGCCATGTTACATACATAAACACAGACACACACACACACACATATGCAGACCCAGCTACATACAAGTGCTTTCCAAAGTGCTTCACGTTTTGTCATAAATAATAAAAATCAAATTGCCTTTGGCTATTGCCAAAAATGCCGCACAGAAACCAAACCAATTCGTCAGAAGGTTATATAGAGCATATACACACCCACCCACTCACACACACACACACACACACACTTTATGGCCGCCTGCAGCACCGCATGCTTCCCGCTCGACCTGTCCACTGGGCTTGGTGCACGTCCAACAATTCTGATGTCCATTTGCCAGAGCTGAAATGCCTGTTTGTTTATTTTAACGCAAAAATCTAAAACCACATCAACATTTTTTTCGCGTTGTTGTAGCTGCTGTTGTTGTTTTCTGCCTTTATTTTTTTCCTCTTCTGAAAACAATTTACGCGCCCGAAGGAGAGGTAACTATGGCGGCAGAGCGCGGAGCATCGCCATCGCCATCGCCATCGGCATCGCCATCAACATCGGCATCGTCATCGACATCTGGCCCACTGCTCATGATCATTTGGACAAAAATTGCTATAAAGTACTAAAAATACAATTACCGTGAGAAATTTGCGCTGATTTTGTGACTGATTGTGAGGACGTTTATAGCCGATTTTTAGTGACTGCCGGCGACCGACTGGGGGCGATCTTAGGGGCAATCTCTGCACCGCCGCTTCGGCTCGACATTGTAGAATCTTATGAGCACGCATAAGACGTAAGATGAGTATATTTGCATTGGACCATAACTGCATTGAGATTATGTTTAGCAATCGATAGATCTCACTATAAGAAATATAAAACAATATATATGAAATTAAAGTATTCTATGAATTGTCAAAGATAATGGAAATGACAGATTATAATAATTACATCGGAGATTACAGCTTAGTCTTTATTAGGTGATCAACATTTTTGTTGTTTTTATTATTACTGGTACTTCAATAGGTAATTCATATACATCTATGTAAATGATCTTCATAAGAACTACCATACTCTATATTATGGCTGTTAAAAGAGCAGTAGAATATGGTATTTTTGGATTAGTTAAAGCTATGATTCATTGAGGTAAATCATGCTCATCTTTTTGCTGCGTTTGGGTTACTAGGGAAGATTCCTTGACAGGGAAACATTGGTGCATCAGAGTTCCAATAAAAAAAAATAGTATTCGACTTTAGTAGTGCTTGCCTTGATATAGAAATTTATAAGGAATAAGTGGCTTTTAGCCGTCTAAATAATATGTTTCCTGCCGAGAAAAGTTTGAAGGCCTTGCGATGGCTTGAGATTTAGAATGAGTTCGAGGCTGACCCAGAAGTATATAGACCAGGTGGCATTAAGATAGTATATAAGCTCTAGCTAATGTTAATGGCATTCAGTAAAGCTCTCAATAGATTTTGAGCGAGTATAGGGCTATCGCATATGCCCGCAGTTGCAGCAGATTTAGTTCTTTTTCATTCGTTTTCGCTGCATTTTGTTTGATTTTTCCGGCAATCGCTGAACGCGGTTGAGCTGTAGATGACGTCGCCATCCGTGGTGCCAGTGGGCGACCTTAGTCTGACCGATCGCGAGATGGAGAGATCGAGCGATCAACCTGGCCGTGCATCACTTTGATCTGGTCGAGTGTCTGGCCAGCCTCCGGCAGCACATTCCGATAGTTATATGCATGCGGCGAACGCCTTTGGCTATATTTTTCGGTCAGCATCAATAAAGCGTTGCGGCCAAAAGCCTAACAAACAACAATAACCTCCCCCTCCAACTTGAAGGATGGCCAAACGAGGTGTGAGTGAGTGTGAGTGAGTGTGTGAGAGTGTGTGTGAGTGCGGGTGGGGTTGAATTGTGCGCTCTGCTGTGCGCTCAGCGTGCTGCGTGCTGATGACGTAGTCACTTAACCGAGAAAAACTTTTTTTTTTTTGTTGTTTATAAATAATGATCTTGGCCAGACGAACGGATTAGTGCACGTTCGCGGTCCAACGCAGCAGCAACTCGTTGATGTAGAAAGTCAGTTGGCCAAATACCACTCGCATTCGGTATACCCCACATTCATAGTCGCATCGCTCATCCATACGGAACAGACAGCAGAAGCCGGCAGCGGAATAATATTAAAATGGTACGAATCGCCGACGGCCATCGGCTATTATATCATATAATGAAAATATTTTGCGAATTTTCGGTGCGAAATTTTAGGAGGACGATGAGAAAATGGACATTATGCGCAAGGCATTCCAGATGTTTGACACCCAGAAGACGGGCTTCATCGAGACGCTGCGACTGAAGACTATCCTGAATAGCATGGGCCAAATGTTCGAGGAGAGCGAGCTGCAGGATCTGATCGACGAGAACGATCCGGAGGATACGGGCAAGGTGAACTTCGATGGGTTCTGCAACATTGCGGCCCACTTTCTCGAGGAGGAGGACGCCGAGGCCATACAGAAGGAGCTGAAAGAGGCGTTTCGCTTGTACGATCGCGAGGGCAACGGTTACATAACCACGTCCACACTCAAAGAGATTCTAGCCGCCCTCGACGACAAGCTGTCATCCAGCGATCTCGATGGCATCATTGCCGAAATTGATACCGACGGCTCGGGAACTGTTGATTTTGATGGTAATTCGCATAATGAAGGTTAAATCTGATTAGCTTATAACGACATCGATCGATTCTACTTGCAGAGTTCATGGAAATGATGACGGGCGACTAGACGTTCCATTTCATGCTGCCCCATTCAAGAGAAAGACAACGAAATGCCATTGTAAGGGCTGCTTTCTTCTTCGTCTGCTTTGCTGAGAATGGCTTTTTATTATTTGTAAATAAATTAACTAAAGATTATAGCTATTGTGGCTTGTCAGTGCGTCGTACAGTGGAATTAAAACACATTTTATTGAAATTTTCAATGAAGTTTATCTTAAAGTTATCGCACAGTTTAATCAAAGAGAGTTTCGGATTATAATAATGAAATTTAGATATGATACGGACACGAATTTCAAGTGAAGCGGAATATATTTTTAGCGTGATGTGAAATTAATTTAGCTGCATTTACATCAAATTTTTGTTAGGTTGCTTATTTTCCCGATATAATGCTAATCCCTAGTTTACAGATGGATATGGGATACGAGCTTATCCGCAATGCTTAAAGTAACTTGACGCATATATAACAAATAGTATTTATACTCAAAGATGTATTAATAGAAATTTCTTGGTAGGTGCCAAAGTATTTAGACTATGATTTTTGAATTATATATATTTTATGTTATATATATACTCAGATCCATTATATCTTTCGCTTGGTGTGACATCCTTCAAAATATACAATTTGATCTTTATTTTATGATTTAAAATTTCGAAAAAAAAACGAATAAAAAAATTGGGTTTTATTTTTTTATTTTATTTTTTATTTTGTTGAAGAGAAATTTATCAAAAAACGAAAGAATTTTCGAGGAAAATAAAAGTCTAGCGAATGCTGAATTTCCGCATTTACTTAATACTATTAAAGCTTTTCTTCTTTTTATTGGAATTTTTAGGTTTATATGTTGAATATTATTTTTGCTTTGATATCTGCAAATTCTACACATTTAAAGGTGATTCAACACTCTCTAGCACTGAATCCGTTCACGATATTATAATTAGAATACTTTTGTCAATTTTGACTAATACCAATCGTATATACATATCTATGTATAGGAAGCTTTAACGGTAGTAAATAGTAAGAATCTATTTATAGAAGTATACATACTCAAAAATGTAACAGTAATTCTCACAAAATTATCTTGTCTTAGCCGAATTTTTAAATACAAAATCGATGTTAAGTAGCACTTAAGTCAAATGAACAAATTTCAGTCATCCGCAGCAGATATAAAACAAAAATAATAATAATATTTTACAAATACTTGGCGAGCTCTTCAAATAGTATTTGCCGCCTGTGCCGCCACATTAAGATATTTTTAAATTAGAATCAAATTAAATGTCTTGACAACTGTTGATATGCGAACCACATGGACGCGGGGGGAGCGAGCGTCTGGCAAGATGCGGTAAGGGTAAGCGGCGTAAAATTTCATTCATAAAGTTTGTTTACGCCAACAGATGTGTGTATGTGAATGGGGTTGCTTTTGGCTGGCTAACAGAGCTCTGTTAAGTCCTGCGCTGTTAAGCGGCGAGCATCAGGAAACGGCTGAGGCTGACGCTGAGGCTGCGGCTGCGGCTGAGCTCTGGCTTGGCGCAGTTCAAATCTGTGCGTTCAGTTGCAGTTGGCGCTTCGTTCGATGCGGATCGCAGCAGACGCGAGTTCCAGTGAATTATCTCTTGAAGTGATCCAATCTAAGTCCGAATTGAAGATGTCCACAGCTCGGGCAGTTGATGAGGACTCCAGCAACATGTCAACCATTTGCACATTGGACACGAGTGTGCCAAAGCTCGGGAATGGCAATGGCAATGGCAGTGTCAGTGGCAGTGGCATGAATAATAACAATAGTGCTCGGTCCAGCCGCAGCTCCACGGGCACAGATTCCACATGCCTGGAGGAGCAACGCTTTGGCTGGCTGCGATTCCGGCCGCAGTGGCTGCAGCGCTTCTGCACCGCCAAGTGGGCGCTCTTCTGGCTCTGCTGGGGCGGCGCATTGCAGGGTAAGTGTGTTGGTGAATGAGGGGACGGGGACGGGGAGGGCGGACGACATTTGGCACACAAATTCTCATTGTGGTCCGCGCTTAATTCATTTAATAGCTCCGTCTCGCTGATCCGCCCACACGTTTTTCGGCTGGACGCTGCTTTTGAGTATATGAATAAATGATAATCTTTGTGTCTCAACACCTACAGTGAAACACCTCGTAAGATACGCGTGACTAAATATTCACACCAGATGAAATATAAAATTAAACAAATCTAAATTAAATGCAAATATTTGTGCTTTAAATAGTTATTTTTGTGCATAAGTAAGTGCAGTTCTATATTACAAATTTGTTTGCTCTGCCAGGCATTCCGGCTTATCAGATCTCAGATAATTTTATCTTATCGCGTTTAATTAAAGTGGGCCAAAGTGTTAAGTAAATAAAATGCAAATTTACTTAAAGTTGAAGCTGATAAAGTTAATAATGCAAACTGCTGCATTTATTTAAATTGTAATTGAAAACGTGAGGTATTTGGTGTGAAAGCCTTTTCATTTGCTGTACACGTGATGGGGACAGAAATTAGATAATGACTTAGTGTGTGTAGTATACAAATATAAAGAGTATATTGACTACAAGCTGCATTTATATTATTATTAATTAAATAGAAACTGAGGAAGCAATTTTAATTTAAAAATTCAGTATATGGGATCTGCCATGGTTTGTTTAATACTGATTTATATTTTTAGACGAAGCAAATAAATAGAAAGATTAGATTTAAAAATTACATTATTTAAAATGTAAATTTAAAATGTGCATATATAATATTCAATATAAAAAATTGCTTACTTACATGTAAGCGTATTTATTTTATAAAAATATTTTATATATAAATACATATTTTAAGTTATAAATATTTTTTAATTCCTAAGTATATACAGGTATAAATATTAATTTTTATTTTATATTTTAAGTATATTATTTATGTATATTAATATAAAAATACATTTAATATGTAAAAATACTGATATATAAAAAATATATACACATATAATATATATTATATATTAAAAAATATGAGATTTTACTATTTTACTATTTTTTTTTTTTTAATATTTAAATTATATTTATTAAGCAGTATTTATGTGGTTTTCTTCATGGGATATTAATATTTAAATACATTTAATATGTAAATATAATATAAATATAAAAAAATGTATATATTAAAAATATAAGATTTTACTATTTTACTATTATTTTTTTTTAATTTAAATTTTGTATATTAAGTTGTATTTATCTATTTTTCATCTTGGTCTAAAAAAAAATAAAACAAAGATGTTTGTATAATTTGTAGCTCAGAATATTTTTAGTTACAAATGCTATTTTTTTTTTTTTCAAATCAATATGTCGACTTTTAGTTAGCAAAGTTAATTTTATATATTTTACCTGTTTTTTTTTTACCATAAAAAGAAAAGTATAACCATAATTAGCTATAAAATAAAAGGTACCGTATTTAAATTAACGCTACTTCAAGAAGCTGCCCGCTCTATTATTTGATTTGTTCAGCAAATTAAATCAAATTTAAAATAGATTTGCTATTACATAAATTCGAATTAAATTTCAATTTAAACTATGAACTCAAATAACTATAGCAATTAATTAATATGAGCCAAGTTGTTCAACAATTAACCCGTTATTTGGGTGTTGGACTAACAGCTCCGCTCAAGCCAAATAATCTGCATGGCTGAAACCTGCATTTAGCACTCGTTGATAAACGGAAAGTGTGACGCGAGCATGGAGGCTGGGCCAAGTGGAACGCTTCATTAGCATCGCTGAGCATTGCACGGGCAATTTTCCGGCTTTGGGTGGAGTTTTGGGCCCAGCCAGCCGAAGGCTGTGTGCAACAGATAAGCGCCTTGGCGTGGCGTGGCGAGGCGAAAGCATTTTCCTGAATGGGAAACGAGTTAATAATTAATATCAGCCCCCGAAGCAGTCAACAGACAATTTTTCTCCATCTAGCCTGAGGATGCATTAACCTCAAAAATAAAAAAAGAAAGAGAAAAAGAAAACTGTCCGCTGAATAGTTTGAAAGGATGCGCCTAACCGGGACGCGGGGCAGCTTGGCTGGAGCTCTGGTTGCGCGTTGTCATAGGCGTAAATCGGGGCAGTTCCATGGTAGACAGGGCGACGCCACGGCAGAGTCATATTCATGTGGTTAATTAAAATTCAGCAATTGCGAAAGGCTGCACGGATTAGGCACTGTTCCAGGGATTAGCTCGGCCATTTGGGCTGCCCCCAGCGACAGGGGCTCGCTGTATTTATGTCTTGGTAGTGCCATAAACAAACCCAGAACAGATTATATGCATGGATTCCCACAGTTTTGGCATCTGTTGCACATTGCGCTACGTGAGCGCATTTCCGACTTGGATTGGCCCTGTCTCTCCCTCTCTCCCTCTCTCACTCTCTCCCTCTCTATCGCACTCTTAGGACTGGTGTCAAAGTGATGACAAGGCTGAACGCCCAGACTCCAAGTGTTTGCCAGGTCGCGTGCAGCGATAAATCTCCCTGCTGCCAGCCCTTCGCTCTCTCTCTGTCTCTCTTCCCTTCTCCTGCTCATCATGTTGTTTTCGTTTTTTGCTCGTGTTTGTCCAGTACAGTGCAGCTCGGTTATGAATGGCGGCACGTGACCAAAAATATTAATCAGTTGACATGGCATTAACATAAATCATCCGCTACAATTCGGGATTACAGCCATCGCTCGCTTCCTCTACGTCTTCTACCCATTTTCCACTTGCTCTCGCTGTACAACCGATTTTAACGGTTTATTGTTTTAATTACAAAGCGTGTCTTCAGTGTGTGTTTAGGGCGCTTCCAATATATCTAACCATACCAAATTAGATGGCCATCGAAATATGGGTTTGCTGAGAGATTTTACTAAGTATGAAATTATTGGCTTGGAGAAAATATTATTATTATTGGAGAAAATAGCTCAACAAATTCCATTAAATAAAACTATAATTAAAATGTAAGAATCGATTAAGTATATTTAAAATGATGTTATAATATATCAACAAAAATAAATACATAATTTTAAATAAATGTGTATGCTACTTAAAGCTTATAAAAAAAATCAAACTCAAGCCAAAAAGAGAAAAAAGAGATAGACATTAATTTTTTAAACAATTAAATTAAATCACTTTAATACAAAATCAATTCCTGTCTTTAAAGCTTGATTATTTTTTAAATTACTTGCAGCCCTGATGCGAACTGAACGCCATTTACTTTACAATTAAATATATATGTATATAAATATTTTGCAGTCCTTTCTATCAATTTTTGCTAATTAAAAGCTTTCACATCCTGCGCCTTGCAGCTCATAAACAAATCGGTTGATTGTCACGTTTGCAACAAAGTCGACACAATGGACACTTCACTTGACTTCGCCTCCAATCAGTGCCCAGCCTCGATTGGAGTGGGCGGGCACATGAGGAAATTGATCCGTATTACTGCACTTTTCAGGGGTAAATGACTTATGAGTGCTTGAGACATTTAAGTCTCCCCACGAAGCATTTTTGTGCCCTCTCTGCAGGGGGGCAACGCAGCGCAGCGCAGCTCATCCCATCTGCCGTCCGTGTGTCCAGTGTAAAAGGACATTTTGCAAGCAGTTCGATTATTGGAAAATAAATTGAATTTGTTGGCAACACAATGAGCCCAAACACCTTACGAAAATATCTATTCTCTATACATATAGATATACATATATATATGTATTTATGTGTAAAATCAATTTGTCGAACAGATATTTAATTTATTACCTTGCCCAGCACCAGCCCCCCGCTGCTGCTTCTGCTACTTTATTCCTGTTTCATATTGTATTTCAATCTGTTGATGGTGCCAGCAATTCGAGTCATAAAATCATCTTAGCTGGTCTTATTTTTTATGACACCCGCCTTGAGGGATGATGTCGGTAATAGTCCTGAATAGTGTTTGGGGAGTTTTTATAGGAGGTGCGGGGGTCTGACTTCCGACTAGAGCCAGGTTAAACACGGCGGGCATCAAATACAATTTTGCATTAGTTACAGTTCGCAACGGTTCACTGTACACAAATTATTTTTATTTATATTTGTTTTATGCTTTTTACAGGAACTTAGAGAGATTTCCTGATTATTGTTTAATTTTATAATAAAATAATAAATTAATGGTAAACCCACAATATATATAATGCCTGCAGGCCCTGTCGCTCTGGCTTAAGAATTGTTATTTAGATTTAATTTTTTGTAACAATAAATAAATAAATAAATAAATAAATAAAAATAAATAAATAAATAAATAAATAAATAAATAAATAAATAAATAAATAAATAAA